GCTTGGCAACACAGGGTTGCAAGAGAAGCCTCATTTCACATACACATTTACATAATTGTATATCAAGAAATGAAATAACACAACTCCGGCATTACTTTCCTGTGAGGAGAGACCATTTTTCCAGTTATCAGTGATGCTTCTATTATGTGCATTTGTTGTTGCATTATGGTGCAACCATAGCACCCAGAGCAGTGAATCTCAGTCGTGACTGACTCAGAAGCCACTTGAACAGTCAATCTTTCTGACAGAACCACAACAATGTGGACTCCCCCCAGGTGAACTGGGACAAACACATGCCAGTTCAGAAGCAAAAACTAGCAATTTGCATAGTATGTTGTATTACTCAGGACTGTAGCGAGGACACACTCCATGCATGCAGCTGAAACAAAATACTTCAATCACATTTTCTGCAAAGAGCTGATGATGGTAAATTGAAGAGGTGCTTGTGGCTTGGAAGCTGCAGTCTGTCATTGTTGGGGTGTGGGAAAGACATTCCCTCTTCTGAAGATTTTACATGCATCTAAACCCAGTGATTGCCAAAGGGTGTGCTGTAGTACACTAGTGTTCTGTGGAAGTGGCAGAAGTGTGCCATGAAAAATAATATATTATCTATTGGTATCAGGTCTGGCCCATAGAGACATATTATCTTGCCTGTGGCGCTCCCCATGGGTTTGGAAATTCAGTGGTGCGGGAGCAGTGGCAATTAATACTGCCACCCCTCCCCCACCACCAAATTTCCAAACCCCAAGTGGTGGGATCAGATGCTGGTTGCTCCAGCCCCATACAGCAGGACTGGGATCATAGACAGGAGCTGGTACAGAGACCAACCCAGCACTGCTTATCTGGCCCATGGAGACAAAAGATTGGGCATCACTGAGTAATGCACACACACCTGTGTATGGGTATATACTCACACCCCCCCCCCCAACCCTTTTTGGGTGTAACAGTCCAGTGTGCCACCAATTTTAATCCAGAAAAATAGTTCACCCCAGTTTGGGAAACACTGATCTAATTTACTGATCTTTAATAATTGTCATCTATATGTTGTGGGAATCTACTAGACTGGGTAAATAAATACTGTGTTGGAAGAGTTTGCCATGTAAATACTTGGTGGATTGGCATGGATGCATTAGAAGTATGCAAGGAAACAGATCAGACAGGGATAAAGGTTCTGTTAGCTCAGTCCATTGTCACTGAAGCCCAGCAGCCTATTCACTGGCTTAGCCTTCTCAGGCCCCATTTTAGGCTTTTTTGAACCATGTCTGTGCCCCAGACTGTGCTGTACCCAAGAGCTGAAGCCATCATTTGACTGGCCATGTGACTGTATTCAAATCAGATGGATTAAACTGCAACTGTATCAATGAAGTGTATTAACAGCAGGAA